GATGCTCTCTAGGACCTCGAGCCGGGAGCCTTGTCCAGCCGGTCGTTTTAATACGACTGCCCCACCTTCGACTCCCCGCCCCCCCCCCCCCCCCCGCCCAGCAGCACCACCAGCCCTAGCTCAGCCTCCATGGAGCGCTCAGGTTTCCCTCCTGGGGGCTGGTGTCAATCCGACTGGTTTCTCTCTGACCTGATGCTCCCCACACGTGTCCCTAGGCCTGGGGGTGGGGAGAGGTTAGGCTTGATCTCCTCATTTCATGAGTGGCTGAATACAGCCCTTACTGCCTACCAGGAAAAGTGTCTGGGTGTTGTGGGGAGAGTGGTATTGCTCTCAAAAGACTATTGTTTCCTTTCAGTAAAATAGTATCTTCCTTCTGTTAATGTACATAAAATGCTTAATAGGGGACCTGGACTCACTTGAAAGGTGTTTTTCTTCTCTTGCAGTTTCTTCCTGCTGCTGCTTCTTGTGTGTCTTATATGACATATATATGGATTCATTCATTCTCTCTCCCCCTCTTCCTCCTCCCCTCCACTTCTGACAAAGCTGCCACCATTTTGTAAGGTAGCTTCTCTCCAAAACTAATAGGAAAATAAAAAGGTTTTTTAGATCGCCATCACACAACCAACGTGGTCACCTTACTTCAGGTGGGGCAGCAAAGTCGAGTGAGAGGGACAGCTTAATAAACGTGGGGATACTCCTTCCATCTTACTCCATCCCGCTGCGAAAAAAAAAAAAAAAGAGGGTCACTTTCCCTTTAAATGCAAATTATCTCCGCAAGCTCAGCTTCCACCCATTCGGTTCCCTAGTTGGAGAGTGCTGAGGGCGGAGGGAACCTGCACAGAAGCATCTTTCCTGATCCCAAACCTCCAGGTCAGTTTCCTCCTTCGGCAGTGTGGGCGGGGGGCGGAATAACGAGGGTCTGAAGTTCCATTTAGGATCCTGGCTTCTGAACTGAGCTATTTATTTGGCTTTGGAGACTGATCGTGGGAAACAGGTCCCAGATCGCCCCCAGCCATTCCTGGCCTGATCCAATTTTTCTATCGAGTTCCTAATTGGACCAAGCTGCTACTGGGAGAGGGATTTGAAGCGCTCTTATCTACCTTCCACCACACCCCCCTCACTGCCAGCCAGCCTCGTACCATTTAAATGCTTATGCCCCCTGCGCCTTCTCCATCCCAGAGTGCAGAGTCGGGCTTGGAGGTGGCTGCAGGGAGTGAGCAGCTTGGGGAAACCCCGTAAAGGGCTCCCAGAATTAGGTGCGGTGGGCGGGGACCTCCGGGAACCTGAGGCTGAGGGGGCGGAGCCGGGCGGCCGGCCGAGCGGTGCCAGCCTCGGGCTCAGCCTTTGTTGCAGGCCCAGGCCGCCCGCTGCCCGACCACCCAGCCCACTCTGGCTGCAGCAGAAGCCTAGCAGGAACTTCCTGACTGGAGAGGGCCAAGCGGCTGGAAGTCTGTCCCAGAGAACTTCTAGGAGTCGCCTGGTGTTTGCCATTGGGGGTGGGATGGAAAAGGAGGGATGCCGGTGTCGAAGTGCGTGGAATCCACACTGAGCCCTGCCCTCATGCCACGGCTTCTGGCCCTGCTGCCCATCCTCTGGGGGTTACTGCTTGACACTGGGGTCTTCCCAGGTGCCCCCATCCACACTTTGGTTGCCTCCCATGCTGACAGGGTTTGTCAGCGTCTGTCCAGGCAGTTAATAAATAGAACGGAGGCTAATTAAGACAACCCTAATCCTCAGCAGGGCTCCTGCCAGCTCATATCCACCCTGTCTCCCCCTGCGTTTCCTCTGCCAGCTCCGCCTCCTCAGCTACAGGGACATGAAACCCCAGGAGCAGCTGCAGCAGGAAAACAATGTCTGGTCCAGCCCTTCCAGGCTAAGGCTTGAGGGCAGGGTTGGGCGGGGAACCTGGGGTGGGCCACAGAAGGTCCTTCAGATACACATCCATGACCTCAGGAGTTGGTGCTGATAACTGACCTTCCCCATCCTGGACAGATGAGGGGGCAATTAGGTCTCAGGGCTGTCCTTTGCAGCTCTCAGGAATTTCCAGGGAAAGGATGGCTTTAGCCCTTACTATTTCAGTGGGACTGCCTCCCTCCCAGGGCCTGAGACCTAGCCAGAATCCAATGGAGGACAAGAAGAAGAAAAGGAGTCCCAAGCCCTGCCTGAGCCAGCCAGCCCAGGCCCCCAGCACACTACGCAGGGTCCCAGTGCCCACCAGCCACAGCGGCTCTTTGGCCCTGGGACTCCCTCATCTGCCATCCCCAAAGCAGCGGGCCAAATTCAAGAGGTGGGTACAGAAGGGAAGCAGGGTAAGGAGGGAGGGACCCCAACTCTGGACTGAGCCCTATGGGGAGGAAGGTAAAGGGGGCCTTAGCCTATAGTTACTAAGCAATTATCAATGCTTTCCCTGGGGCTCCCCTCACCCTGGCTGACCCCTGAGAACTCAGACCTGGTCCCTACTCTCAAGAGTGTGGGGAAAAGTCCAGATCGGTCACTGGGATCACACAATGCGATGATACACCTTAGAGCAGGAGTAAGCCACACTTCCAGGAAGTGAGAGTCAGAGAAGGGTGTTGGCACCCTGGAGAGGGAGAATGTTCTGAGCTGAGGGGCTTGCCTGGCAGAAGTATGGAAGAAAAATACTGCCTGGAAGGCTCTGGGAACTGCAGGCGCTTTGGTGGTCCTGGAGTGTCATGAGGCAGGAAATGATGAGGGGGTACTCAGGTGTACAACTTGAATTCTCTGCTTAATTTTTTTAATGATTGAAAATTTGCCTTCTACCCTATAGTATGTCTGTTTGTTTCCCACTAAACATGTGTTCTTTCTCCGATCTATCACTTTGTTTCCCTGTGCCTTTGCATACCAGCTGCCTGCGAGGCATGTTTGGGGCTGCCAGAGTCAGGTGTCAGAAGCTCAGGGCTGGGGCAGGAGAGGCCGGGGGGGTGGCGGGCAGGCTGGGATGGTCATTCAGTGCTATCCTGAAGGCAATGGAAAATTCAAAAAAAACATAGACGAGAGGCAGAAAGATACTTTGGGGAGAGATAAGATGGCTCTCATGGCAATAAGGGAGTACTGTCCCCAAATTCACTGAGGCCCAGTGAGGACAAGTGATTCACCCAGGGTTGCAGGAGGAATGAGTGAAGGGCTCAGACAGGAACTCAGGAGCCCTGTTCTAGGCATGGCTCTGATTGCATCATCGGCAGAAAAAGACTTCTTTGACCTCTTACCCTCACCCCTCCACACCCACTCCCTTCCCTTTACCCATCCCGGTGGCCAGGACAGGGCCAGAAGAACAAACATCCACTTATGTTGATGAATGGATAGAAGGATGAATTAGTGCATAGACAGATGGTACCGGGGGTACCTGACTGCCCTGCCCCTACCCTGTGACCATGGCCATGCCCACCCACTCAGGGCAGGAAAGGAGAAATGCCGCCCAGTGCTGGCCGGAGGTGGGGGCGGCCCTGCAGGCACCCCCCTGCAGCACTCGTTCCTGACTGAGGTGACGGATGTCTATGAGATGGAGGGGGGGCTGCTGAACTTGCTCAATGATTTCCACTCAGGCCGACTGCAGGCCTTTGGTGAGTCCTGGGGGCGGCGCTTAGAGGGCATGTGGGTGGATCTGGAGGGCCTGGTCTCCGAGGCTTGGCTGGGTCCAGGGTCCCAAGCTCGCTCCCAGAGCTAACAGGTGCTGTCCAGGGAAGGAATGCTCCTTTGAGCAGTTGGAGCACGTGCGGGAGATGCAGGAGAAGCTGGCCCGGCTGCACTTCAGCTTGGACGTGTGTGGAGAAGAGGAGGAGGAGGAGGAAGAGGATGGGGTCACCGAGGGGCTGCCTGAGGAGCAGAAGAAGACGATGGCTGACCGCAACTTGGACCAGCTACTTAGCAACGTGGGTCAGGGCTGGATGCTTCAGTTCCTAGGGGCACCAGGGGTGGGGGAGGTAAATGCTTCTAAGACCATTCCTGGCCCCTGGGTGAAAAGATGGGGGTGCATGGAGCCAAAAGCTCTGGGCCTCTCAACCCCTACCAGAAGATGAAACCTACAGCATCTGGAGTTGGCCTGGTGCCCCTTCTGACAGAAACCTCCCTTTCTCTTTCTGTCGACAGCTGGAAGATCTTAGTAATTCTATGTATCCTTTCCAGGGAACCTGACAATGTGTATTTGTGTACATGTGTGCACGCCTCCCAGAGAAAAAATTAGCTTCCACCGTCCCACCACCATCCAGGAATATTTACATATAACCAACATTCTCATCTCTTTCAGTCCTACTAAGTCAAAATTAGCCACAAGCTGCCCCAACTCAGGTAGAGGGCTGCAGAAAGAATTCTCCAAATATTAGGAGAAAGGTGGTTGCAGGGGATATGTTTTACCTACTTATCAAAATCTTTTCAAGTACCCATCCATGGCAAAACTCGTCTAATGTCTTCCTACTCTTTCAGCACTGAACAATTATTTGTACTGACTTAGATTATCTCCGTATCTAGTCCTAGTCGGAAGTTGTGCAAATGCACACACCTTCATGATCTAAACCAAAAGCGTAGTGGGTAAGCCACCTAGCACAAAGGGCACGCAAGAACTGCAACTCCATACCATGGACCACTTGGGAGTCCCAGGCCCCCGCCCCTTTGCACAACTGGGGAAATTAGACCTGTGCAGGTTGGGAAAATAGGGCTGGAAGGAGCGCGGTCCAAAGCGTCACAATCCTTGACTGGCACAGACAGAAGCTGCACCTGGCCGAGAACGCCGAGCCTGAGGAGCCGTCAGCTGTGTAGGCTCATTCCCTTCAAACTGTGACTTTTTACGGACTCGACTGTGTGTTCCGCGGCCCCCCAGGTGCTATGGGGGAGGGGGGTCATGGATGGAATTAAACCAGAAAGAAAGAAAGCGACTCCGTGTCCTCCCTGCCCCCACTGCGCCCTTACTCAGCAGGGTCGCCCGGGCACCAGCTACCTGGAGGCCGCCCCTGAGCAACACACTTCCGGTTCGGCAGGTCCCTCTTGTGGGGCTGGACTCCCGCGGGCAGCTCTGGAGTGGGAGTTGGGGCCCGGCGCCAGCCTTGTCTAGCCCGCCCGGGAGCCGGATGGTCACCGTGGAGACGGCGGGGCGGGGCCTGCGCTAGCTAGCGCGCGGCGCGGTCCAGTGACGCACTGCGCAAGCGCCGGGCCAGCGGGTCGGTCAGCGGGCGCCCGGATGGAGCTGGAGCGGTTGGTTCGGAAGGTGACGACGTTGCAGGTGCGGGGTGGGCAGGGTGCACACGATTACTACCCCATGGGATCTCAGACTGGGACCTTCGGACGAGATGAGGCCGTCACGTTTAGTTACCTACTCGCGTGCTCGCCTCTGAAGGTACCCACCCACCCCCACCAGCCTAAAAATGCTGGGACCCACGGACCCTCACACGCTCCTGTGGGATCAGGGAAATGGCCAGAAGGGCCTTAAGTCCAAGAGGTGGATTCAGTCCAGCACACTCCCCCGAACCCCCTGGGGCCCTAACGTACAGCATCACATCCTTTCCCCGGGGCAGGGTCTCCTCTTGCAGTCACTGGAATGACCTCTGCAGGAAAATTCTCCAAGATGCCCCTATGTTGCAGTGATAAGGGTTTTCTTCCCCTCGTTCTCCACACCAGGCCTGCGTCCGGGGCTTCTTAGTCCGACGCCAGTTCCAGAGTCTTCGAGCTGAGTATGAGGCTATTGTACAAGAAATCGAGGGTGATCTGGGCGCGCTTCAGTGGACTGAGGGCTGGATTCCCAAGCCCAGATTTCTCCCGAAGGTACTACATACCCCAGGGGTAAAGGGGAGGGGAAGGAGGGTCCTCGGCAGGGGACTCAAGGGAATGGTAGATCCCCCACTCTTCCTGCTGACAAGCTTTTCTCAATAGAAAAGGCAGCGGACTCACCTCCTCACACCCCAGTCCTTAATCCTCAGCAACCTGTATGCTAAATCATGGTACCCAGACACTTGGAGGGCTTAGCCTTGGAGCTCATACCTCTCTGACTGATTTTCTCAGAAGGCAAAATCCCATCAGACCTGGAAAGCCAGAGAGAGGGTACCAAGTCCAAAGGAACTATGGAGCCACTTCCCATGTAAAGAACCTGAGAAAGAGGCCATCTGGGAGGAGATGATACTGAAGAAGTCTAGAGAGAGCTCAGCAAACTCAGGCAGTCTTCCCTTCAGAGATGACAGCTCATGGCTTCAGGATGAGCAGAACAGGAAGACCAGGAAACTGAGCCAAGGAGAGACCAGAGACATGTCAAGGATGGACAACCCAGGTACCTCTCTCCCTAGGTCAGGGCAAACCCCTGACCCTCCCTGGGCCTCAGCTTTCTTATCTGAAAAGTGAAAGACTTGTGCTAGAAAAGCTACATCCCTTTCCTTCTTCCCTCTGCCTTGCTTGAGGCAACTCAAGGGTGGGCAGGAGGAGCGTGCCAGGAACTCATGCTAGGCCAGTGCCTAGTGTCTGCCCTCTCGAGGCTTTCTCTCTCCATTCTTCCCTCCTTTGCAGAAGCTGCAGGTCCAAGACTGCCCCAGAGCCAGACTGAGCTCCAGGAGCTCCAGTACCACCGCAGCCACTTGGCCATGGAGCTGCTGTGGCTACAGCAGGCCATCAATAGCCGTAAGGAGGTAGGCACCAACTTGGAGCCCTTTCTGCACATTTAGGGCTAAGGGTGGGGGTTTGGGAAAAGCCTTCTGCCATGCCGAAGCAGGCCTGCCTGGTACAGTGTCTGTTCTCTTCCTCAATAGTACCTAGTTCTCAAACAAACACTGAGATCAACAGAGGTGAACCAGACCAGAGATGAGCCCAGCATGTGCCCAGACCACAGGGGACCGGGCTGTGAGAAAGCTGGGCCACAACCAAGCCTACCACTGGAAGACCAGTCCTACAGAGACGGGACCACTGGAGAGCCAGACCACATGGGTGACTCCTGCTGGAGACTCAAATCACAACCCCATAAATCCCCAGAAAGACTGGCCACTACAGACAAAACCACTGCTAGGGCCAAATACAGGGACCCATGCTACAGGGGGACTGGACCACAGCTGCCCACATTGTCAGATAACCAGGCCACAGGGAAGAGGCTCACCAAAGAGCCAGACTGTGGAGAACAGACCTTTGGAGGGAGCTGCCACAGCTGACAAAACTTCTGGAGGACCAGTCTCCCAAAGGCCTCAAACCTAGGGGCTACTGTTCTGAAAAGGCCAGGACACAGCTATGTACACTTTATGAGGGCTCAGACATCAAAGACAAGTCTCCCAGAGGGCCAGACCAAAAACAGCCTGATTGCCAAAGAGCTGGGCCACGAGAGTTGGGTCTCTCAGGGGACCATGTCATCCGGGATGGGTCTTTGGCAGATTATGGTGGCCTGGATTTCTGGAAGGCTAAGCCACCCAAGGGCCAGACCAGCAGTGATAAAAGCTCTAGAGACAGAACCTCCAATGAATCTATCCGTGAAGGATGGAAAAACCAGAATACTTGGGGATCTACCATGGGGATCAAAGCCACCTGAGAAACTGTCTTCCACTAGAGAGGACCACTGGAGGGGCATACTGTGGAAAGCAGGACCACCAGGGTAGATCCTGGGGAATCAGGGAGGACCAGGTTCCAAAGGGATGCTATGAAAAGGCAATGAGGATCTCCTCCTAGCTCCTTGGTACCAGCTCTACCCCCTGCCCCTGGCCATTGAGACCTGGCTAATGAGACCAAGAGAAGCTAAAGCACAGGGCTGGTACCAGCGGAGAGAGAAGAGGGAGGAGGATACTCTCATCCTTTGCCTGTGGTTCAGTCCACATTTTGGGACTTTCCTGGGGTAAATAAAGTGGGGGGCCAGACAGAGAATAAAGGTTTTTCTTAGACTCTGAGCCTGGTTGCATTCATCTTCTGCCTCTGGTCAGGACAGACCCTGGACTCTCCTGTTTGCTTCCTGCTGACGTGGGGCATCTTCCCCAGAGCTGGCTGGTAGCTACAGCCCAGGAGTACACTAGCCATCCTTGGGGAACTGCCCTGAAAGCTGAATCTTCCTTTAAGCTCACCCCTTGGGCTGCAGAGTAACAGGGAGGCTCTTAAGAATCTCTCCTTCCCCCTAGTATTGGAACGTCTGTGTTTCAGTGTGATTTCTGCCACTGCCTCTCTCACTGAGCCCCTGGGTCATCTTTCATATATAGTGATCAGACCTGCCCTACTGTTGTGAGGCTCCCCTAAGAACAGAGTGGATGAGACCCTGAATGCAGACAGATCTGCCTGTGGAGGCTCTCCATGCCTTTCTGGGTGAGAGAGCAGGACTCCACCTCAAATTGGCACTCCTCCCAGCCCTGCCTTGGTTGCCTGGCAACAGCTGTGCGTCTCTAGCTAATACGCTATGGCAGGTGGCAGTCCAGCAGCCAAGAAGGTAGTAGTGTACCGGAATGGGGACCCCTTCTCCCCAGGCCGCCAGCTGGTGGTGACTCAACGACGCTTCCCCACCCTGGAGACCTTCCTCTGTGAGGTAACATCGGCTGTGCAGGCCCCACTGGCTGTGCGTGCTCTCTACACGCCTTGTCATGGCCACCCGGTCACCGACCTGGCGGACCTGCGGAATGGAGGGCAGTATGTGGCTGCTGGCTTCGAACGATTCTGCAAGCTTCCGTGAGTGGGCTGGGGCTGGTCAGAGCCTAGGGAGTGGGTAACAGCAACCACACTTGTTCAGCATTCACTGTGTATCTTCTGGAATACAGCAGTCCTATGAAGGGGGTGGTCTTATCCCCATCCTTTGGAAGGGGAAATCAGGGTAGTGAAATAGCCTGCCTAAGAGTACACAAGTAACAGAAGTGGAGCCACAGTTCAAGTCGAAGTCTGACACTGATGTTCATGCCCATTATAGAGCCAGGATCAACCAGTGAGAACATTCTGAACCTCCTTTTCCAAAGGCTCTTCTTTTTGTTTGTTTGTTTTTTGGGGGGTAATTAGGTTTATTAATTTTTATTGGAGGTACTGCGGACTGAACCCAGGACCTCGTGCATGCTAAGCACAAACTCTACCACTGAGCTATACCCTCCCCTGCTTCAAAGGATCTTGATTGGATCCTCCACCACCAAATACTCCATCCATCATTTCCTCCCTGCCGTGTTTAGGTATCCCATGCTTTCCACTAGGCTGGGATCACCCTTTACAGGGTGGGTGGAGCTGTGCTTTCCAAGATGGGAGAATAATTTGAGTATCTGAACTTCCAAATTGGATCTGGCTTCCAGGTCCTGCTCCGCTCTCAGCTGAGGTTGCTCGCTGCTGTAACGTATGGAACAAGGAGTTGAGAGCTAGACAGGCTTAGAATCTGGGCTATGTCACTTCTGTGTTATTTAGGTGAGTCACTTAACTCAATCTCATACAAAATGAGATAATACCACCTACCTCATGAAAGAGAAAATTACTGAGATACAGTAGGATCTCGACCTTTAATCTTGTGGCTTGAGACCCCAGTCTGGATGTTCAGCCTGATACAGGGCCTAAGGCAGGCTCGGGGGGAGGGTATAGCTTAGCAGGCACAAGGTACTGGATTCAGTCCCCAGTACCTCCATTGAAAAAAAAAAGGCTCTTAAGGCAGGTTCACACGTCAGCATGTTTCTGGACTGAGATGACAGACTATTCCAACAGGGAGACCTGGTAAGCTAGGTCCCAGCCCTGCACTTGCAGCTGCCAGGCTGTTGAGGTCCTAGGCTCCCCAAGATGACCTGCGACCTATCTATCCTTTCAGCTATCTACCCTCTGGAGGGAAGGATCCAGGTGGAAAGAGCAGCAGACCACCAGTGAGTACTGGGAGAGGCCGGCCCTCAGTCCTCTGTTCTCCACCCCCTCCGGGGACTGCCCCCAGTTTGGTCTGGGAAGGCAGGGGCTCTGGAAGCAGCAGATTGGCCTCTCCAAACCTACTCTGGAGCAGCTGCTAGCCTTCCTAGGGGTGGAGGATTTCAAGACACTATCATTTGCTCCTTTTCCAGCCTTTTACTTATCTCTAGGCTGTAGTTCTCAAAGGAAAGAGGAAGCTGTAAAACATAGAGGGGGCGAGAGGGGGCAAGGAATGTGACTTAGGTGAGGTAGAAGCACCCTTTGGTGAAGGATATCACCAGTCCCATCCCTCCTTGCCCCCTCTTCTGCCCCAGTCTGGTTCCTTTTCCTTACACTACCCACCTTGGACTGACCTACCCTGACCAAAGGCCTCAGCTCTCTCCTGACTTGGGTTTCAGGGTCCTCCCATGACTCACCAGCTGTGTGGCAGGGCCCTTGGACGGCGGCCACCTGCAGGTTCCCCCTGCTACATCCAGTGAGTACCCGTGTCAGAGCGGGGCAGAGATTTTTGTTTCAGTGAGACCAAGAAAATGGGGGTGGATTTGTTCCAGGAGCCCCTGGTCACCGGTGGGGTTATAAAAAGTCCAACATGCCTGGTGGGTGAAAATGGATCAATGCACTGGTCCTTGGCCCATCTTCTGGCCCCTGTGCCACCCCTCATCCTCTCACACCATTACCAGGCTGCTCTTTGTCCCAGTGTGTTCAGGAATGGGGACCTGTTAAGTCCCCCATTTAGCCTGAAGCTGCCCCAGGCTGCCAGCGAGGACTGGGAAGAAGTGTTGAAGCTCCTGACCAAGAAGGTGAAATTACAGAGCGGGACTGTGTGCAAGTGAGTCTGGGGACTGGGGAGACCTGAAAGTCCCCAAAGGGAGCCTCCCTACTGGTTTTGGCTGTCCTCAAAAATGAAAAGGCAAAAGGAAAGCATGTTTCCCGAAATGGGACTTCTTTCTGTGCCACAGACAGAGAGGCCCCCTCCAGCCCAGCCCTCGGAGCCAGGGCAGAGCCTGGCGTCCGGAGGGCCAGCAGCCAAAAGGCACTTTGGAATAGCTGTACCCACTCCCTCGTAATCTGCTGAATATGAAGATGCATCTTGTTCACTGGCCCTTATCTGCTCACCTCTCTCTCCCAGACTCTGCACCCTGGAGGGGCTCCCGCTGTCAGCAAGGGAGGCTCTGGTGAGTGGCCATTACTATGTGGCCGTCGGAGAGGATGAATTCAAGGCCCTCCCCTACCTGGAGCTGCTGGTGCCCAGCCCCTCACTGCCCAGGGGATGCTGGTACGTACGTGTGAGGTGGAAGGGTAGCAGGTTAGAGCAGAGGACCCCACCCTGACTCTGTGTCCTCCTCGGCCTATTATAAACCCTTTCTTTTTTCATTGCAGGCATCCACCAGACCCAAGGTCCAGGCCCCACAAGCAGGGGGTAGGTGATGCAGCAGGCCACGGGGGTGGGAAAGAAAGGGGGTGACCAGCTGAGTCCTCCTCCAGCTCAGGCTCTGATCTCTCACTGCGTCCCCTCAATAATCTTGTGAAATAGAGATTATTATTCCCATTTTCCAGAGGAGAGGCTAAGTTGAGAGGAGTGAAGTAATTTGTTCAAGGTAACACAGTTATTGACATGGGCCAGATCAGAACCTGGTCTGAAAGCCAGCTCATCTGGGCTCTATGAAGATCTTCAGGACTCTGAATTGCTGGACCTAATGTCTTCTTGCCAGGTTGGATGCTGGGAGAAAGAACCAGCATATCCGGCACAGCAGGGTCCAAAGATGGTTACCAGCTCCCTGTCTTATCCTAAGCCTCCCAAGAGATGAGCCCAGTGCACATCGAGTGGGGGTTAGAGGGATTCAGCCTGGTTTCACTGGGCATCTTCAGTACCAGACACCACCTGCTGTGCCCTAGATAAGGCAACCTGATGGGAAGAGGGAGCAGGGAGGGGGATGCAGGTTATGAGGGTGGACGGCATCTCTTCTCCCAAGCTCCCACAGGCACCAGGGGCATTCAAGCCTGGACTGGGAGTAGACAAGGTAAGGACAGCTAGCAGCCACGGCCCAAGCCCTGTGTTCCCTCTGCAGGCCCATGGCCACAGGGCACAGGCATCCCAGTCCTCTCCAAAGGAAGCCAGCCAAATTGAGCCATCTGCTTTCTATGCCAGACCCCAGCAGGCCATTCAGCCAAGAAGCATGCTGCCTACTCTCTCCTTTCTATCAGGTGAGGGGACCCCAGAATCCAAGGCCTTCTTAGCCAACCCTCTGACAGTGACATAGGATGGGCCCTGCTATGATGGGGGAGGTCCGTGGGGAAGAATGCCCAGGTTCAGAGCCGCTCCTGACCTTAGCACAACTGTCTCCTACTCCTCCATGTGCATATCCAGTCTCTTGTCTCTTCACAGGGACTTGGCTTATGAAAAGAAGCAGGTGGAAACTCAAAGCAATGACATTGCAGGGGTGGGATTTGGAAGGGATGGGGATGGGGATCAAAAGCCTGCCTCTCAACTGAGCTGCCATCCTCTGAGGTCATGAGGGATGCGGAATGAGGCTGGGGGAGGCAAGGGGGCTGGTAGACAAGGTCAAGGGAAAGCATGCTGAGGGCTCCTCAGCCTGGGCATCAGCCTGTTGCCTCCCACATCAGGAGTCAAGGGAGTGTATGGAGCTCTCCATCCAAGGAAGGAGACGGCAGGGGCCCAGGAAGTAGCAGATGATGATGACACCTGGACCGAGGAACTCTTGGATCAGGTGTGCTGGGGCTGGAAGCCATATGTTGGGACTGGAGTTCTGAGCTGGAAACCAGCAGCCCTGGGTCCCAGAGACAGTTCTCTCTTGAGACTGTGAGCAGACCTCTTAAACTCTCAGAGTCTGACTTCCTACCTTGTTAAATGAGAGGGCAGATCCTAATTTCTAGTCTCTTCCTTTTCTGGGGTCAGGAAACTCAAGACTAAGGGCTGGGGGCTGGGCATGGGGTGCTAATGGCTTCATTCTGTATGGCCTTCTGCCTCCTCCAGAGGGCAGCCCAGATAGTGGAAGAGGCCCTGTTCCTGGAAAACCAGCCTGGGGCTGGGGTAGCTATCTCAGCCTCGGCCTCTGCTCCGCCATCTTGAGAGCCTCAGCTCTGGCCAGGAACTGAGGACGGCCACTCTGCAGCCACCTTTCATCCTCAGCCTCCAGAGGCCTGTTCTCCAGGACCCAGCACATCCCCTGGGCTCACAGGGTACACAACAGCTCCCTCAGTCCCACCCTTCTGTTCCTAAACCCATAGCCCAGTCTTCCCTTCCTCTCTAAGCAAAGCAGCCCCAGCCACAGAGGCCATTTCTTTATGAGGTTCTCTGGCTAGAGAAAGGAGTGGTCAACTGAGCTTGGGGGAGAGACCACAAACTTGGGAGCAGGTCTGTCACAATAAAAGAATACTTACTAACCTCCATCTGTTTACTACAGATTTATTACAGACTACTACTCGCCAGGCATTGCTCCACATGCTGAAGTCAGCCATGCAGGGCCCACAGGTATCTTATCTGTTTGAGAGCGGCAGGCAGCAGAGAATTTCCAACCACCCCTCGGGAAGGTCAGCCAGCTCATCTCTCCTATATCTGCCATTCTTAGGCACTCTCCCCTCAGTTCCCTCCTCAGCCAGTCAAGGTTGAGCCCTGGAGACTTCCTGTTTGCATTTCTGGCTCAAAGACAGCTGGCTCTCTCCATTCTGGGGTTGTATAGGCCATCAACCGTGCCACTGGGATAGTCCAGATTAGGCCACAGTCACACAGGCAGGGCTGGGGACCTGACATGACAGCAGGCAGACTGCTGCTGGGGAAGAAAGGTTGCTGAGGGTGAGTGTGCAGTCTCTGGTGCTAAATCCAAGCAGTTGAATAGCACTTGAAAGTTACCAAACCCTTTCACTCTTGTTCGCTTACAGTGAGCCATGAGGTAGCTATCTTCCCGGAGAAGAGGAAGCTGTGGCCCAGAGGCTGGTGGGGAGGGGAGAGAAGGGTTAAGTCCAGATGCTCACTGCCTCTACCTCCTGGCCTGGGGGCTTCCTGGAGACAGCAGGGCTGGAGGGTGGTGATGGCCCACTCAAAGCGTAGATGGGTGCCCCTGGGTCTTGTTCACTGAGCTTGTGATGCAGAGTGAAATTCCTGCCACAGTGAGCACCATACCTGTGAATGCTCCTGAGACAACAGGCAGAAAGTGAGGGGCTCTGAGACCAGCCATGCCAGCAGGAGCTGGTGCAGGGCTGAGGGAAAGGCTCAGAGAGGGAAGGAAACTCTGATGGCCACAAAGAAGGAGGAGAGCTGCAGAGGAAAGGGGCAGGGTGGGAGAAGAGCCTCTCCTGACCCAGCCATGGGAGATGGCTCTGGAAAAAACTAACGCAGGGGTGTCAAGACCCAAGTAGTGGCTTCCCACACTTGCAGTGGCCCGACTTACGTTTTCCACCAATATCTTCTCCAAGGACCTTCCCAACAATCAGTGTAAAGACGATGGCCAGAGAGTTACTGATGGGCACAGCTAGAGTCAGATCTGAGTGATCAGAATGAAAAGAATCTCTAAGACACAAAAAATATCCTTCTAGGCACCAAACAGTTTCATTACATCATCAAGATAGTCGTTTAAAAAGGACATCTCATGTAACGATTTCAGTAAAATACATTAAAATGCCAAATTATTTTAAGTCTTAAAAAAAAAAAAAGGTATCTCATGACCCCATTTTCCAGATGATGTCACAGCAAAGCTCAGGATTCAAACCCAGGCCTCCTGACTCCAAATTCAGTGCTCCCTGAGGATTTCAGCACAAAGACCTGAACTACAAGGTCTGGGACCACCTTGGTTTGCTGGTAAGGATGAGGTCTTTGCACTCAAGGAAAGCTCCTGCGATCTCCAGGACATCCGAACAGACAGTCACCCAAAACCCAAAGGATGCAGCTGCATGAGCCCAATAACACCAAACACAGCCACCATTTATCAAGCACAAGTTACATGCTGGGTGCTTTGTGTAACATCTCATTAATCTTCACGAGAGCGCTGCCCAGAGAACATTCTCATCATTCTGCATAGATAAAGGAAACAAATGCTCAAAGACATCAAGTCACATAAATTGAGGCAAATTGAGGACTTAAGCCAAGGTCTGCCTGACCCCAAAGCCTGTGCCCTTATTGAACTAAATGGATATGGACAAATCAAGACAGCAGGTGAAGCATATTTTGTTTCTGTATCAACTCAGGCTCGGGCCTGATGGAGTTACAGAAGAGAAAAAATGTCAGAGGTTGGAAGCCAGGTCCAGGAGAGACCCCACACGGCTGGGCCTTAGATAGAGGCCACCAGAGTCCAGGATCTGCTCTTTAGTTTTGAAGCTCCAAGGGACTGACTCCCAATAAACAAACTTTAAAAAGACTAATGGAGCTAGCAACACTGTTACCTTAAAATTTACACTAAATTTTCTGTACTTAAAACTTTTTAAGAGGATAGATCTTATGTTAAGTGTTCTTAAACATGTACAACAACGACAAAAACAAATGGATAAATCAGAAGCTGAGTTACTCGTTTGCAAGACTCATAAGTGCCAGGCAGGCTGCTCATGTTGGCTCTCCAGAACATTCTTTCCCAGCACTCCCAGGCCTCACTTGCTTCAGGGAGAGGAGAGAACTGTGCAGCAACTCATCCCCTGCCTTAGCCATCCAAGAAATTGACACATCTGCTACCTACTCAGAGCTCCTTCCTGAAGCCTGCATACCTGACATCAAATGCCATGGCTGATAAGACTAGTTTGCAGCAGGAGATGGGGGAGGCAAGCAGCGGGTGCAGTGGAAGAGCATGGGCGCTGGAGGGAGGCAGACCTAGGTTTCCCTATGCAACTGTGGTTAGGCCAAACACTCTGAGCCTGTCCCCGACGGACGTGTAAAACAGTGATAGCAAGATAACATCTCCTGACAGCGGGGTTGTTGTAAGATGAAATGTGATCACGTGTGTATAGTCCCTAGCTAAATATGTCCTTAGTAAATAGTGACCACTGTTGTGACTGTTAGAATTGGGGGACGTTAAAGGATAGAGGCATGGTAGATGGTAAGCTAACAGGAACTTAAAATTCCAATTTGCTCAAAACTTGGTAAATGGCTAACTGCAGTCGGCTGGCCAGAGAATTCAGCATTCTTGGGCAGCACGGAGTGCCAGAGGCTTTCAAACTTTCTTTTAAATCAAGTTTTCTGAGAAGCCCAAAATGTAAAACAGATGAAACTGGAGTGACTCCAGGTGATGCTGAGGTGGAAGGTATGGAGGTCGGCCTATCCCTGCACCATCCCCATGGCCTCTGAGGGGTTTCCCAGAACTATGTGGGGCCCAAACTCCCCTAAGTCCCTGGGGCACTGGGGTGAGACTCCAGGGGAGGTGAAACCGCAGCAGGAGAACTCACAGCAAAGTTCAAGAGCATAAACTTTAGTAACACATGGCTTCAAATCCTTCTGTACTGACAAGCTACAGGACTTAAAGAGAGATGAAAGAAGTTGCCCAAAGTTTTTATAACTTCATCTCCTAAGTGGAGATATTCATGCTAACTTCATAGGGTCGTGATGAGAAATGAGATGCATAAAGTCAAGACAGTATCTAATGTTGGAGAGGGCAGTCAACAACAATGGGGGAAAGGAAATTTGTATTTATGGAGGTCCTCCTGGTACAGTGTGCACCAGGTACTCTGCTAGATGCTTCTCATACACTGGATCTAGTCCTCTCAGTGCTAGAAGCCGACTGTACAAAATCAAGGTTCCAGTAAGGGACTCGCTCAAGGTCAAGCAGATAGCAAGCAGTGGAAACCAGCCATTAGCACAGCAAAATGAACCTTCTTTCCTCCACTGCCGCCGCACAAGACTGCCAGGTTTCACACAAACCCTGGTGTCTGGCAGCATGATCATAGGCAGCCCACTGTGCCCCTAATGCCCAGGGAAGAGGGTGCAACGAGAGAACCAGAGATGGTGGGCTCTCCCTCACTCAAGGCAACAAGGTGTTTTAGATACCCTCCCCAAAGCGACTCTTCGGGTGGCTTCCACCACTAAGCATAGCAGTTCTAAGCAGAGACCCACCTGTTGATGCTAAGGTGAGGTAGTAGAGAAGGGAGCCACACTGGTTGAGGAAAAAGGGCATCAGGTACTAGAAACAGAATAAAACTTCAGTCAGTGTGATTACTTAACTGAGCAGTGTTGCCGTCTTTGAGCTTCGAGACTGGACGGAGGAGTAGCTATAAGGGCCTAGGGAGCACTAAGCCCTCTGAAAAGGAGCTTTCCAGAGCACAGTGTAAGTCACTGACTGAACTCCATGCCTTTGCCCTGAAGGCCCTCTCCCTTAGCCCTGCTAGATCCTGTCCTCCCCATCCTGCAAGTCCCTGAGTGTCAATGTCACTCCCTCCAAAAGCCTTCCTTTGGTCCCGGAGCTCCAGCCTCCCTCCTCTGAACTCACACAGCACGTTATCTGTACCTCTCTCAAAACCCTTAGCCCTGAGAGGCGGTTGTGTCTATGTCCTGTCTTTCTCACTAGCCTATACTGGCAGCCTTGAGGTCAGAGGTAGTTCTTCAAATCCTTCCTTATCTCCTCCTTCCCAGGGCAAATTTCAGCCCCAAGCCCTCCCTCCTGAAAGGTCTGTTGGAGGGAATCACGTAAGCAAATATTAATAATAGCAGCCATAGATTGAGCCCTAATTACGTACTAGGCCCAATGCTAAGTGCTTTTAGTGACTCACCTCACTTAATCCTCTCAATTGCCCTATAGAATGGTTACCTATATTATTCCCATTTTACAGGTGATGAAACTGAGGCTCAGGGTGGACAAGGGACTCATCCCAAATCAGACCCAGACCTGCTTGACTTCTGAAACCAAATTCTTAGCGGCTAACCCCTAGAGCGAGGTCACTCACAGACGCACCTCAGCATTCAAGAAGAGGGCCTTCATCTCCTGCAGCAACTGCCGGGCCCAGGTCCGCTCATGAACCTGCTGCAGGCGGGAGGAGGCCCGCTTCAGCAGCGGCTGTGTGCCACCCCACAGAGCGGCCACCAGCACCAGAGCCAGCACCTGCCCTGGATGGAGATGTGAGTGACACCCCCGCCGCCCCACCGCTCCGCCGCCCGCCAAGCCCCAGCCCTCTTCCGGCCTCCCCTCTCCAGCCAGCCGCCCCCACATCCCTCCTTCGCTCTCCGACGCCCCGGGTGCGATTGGCGGGTAGGACAGACCCCAGGAGGCCGGGGAGACAGATCCAGGAGCCCACGTTGGGGGTTGTAGTCGGGGTCGGGGTTAGGTGGCGGAGTTGGAGTAGGAAAGGAACTCCGGGTAAGGGTCGTGAAGCGGGGGGAGAGGCAGGGTGGGAGCGGGACCCTCCTGCCCACCCAGGGTCGCCGCCATGGCAACGCCGC